TCAGTTCTTTACATTGAAGACTGAGAAGAAATTCTTCCTCTAACTTGCAGAGTAAAGATTCTTCAACCCTTAACATTTTTCACTTGGTCCCAGATGTGGTCACACTGGACAGACCTTTTTAAATTATTATTTGTAGAAATTTATGGGGTACATGTGAAATTTTGCTACATGTATATAATGTGTAGTGATCAAGTCAGGGTATTTAGGGTGTTGGTCACCTGAGTATTTTTGTTAAGTATAGTTACCCCACTCTGGTATCAAATATTAAATTGATTCCTTCTGTCTTACAATATGTTTGTAACCTTTAGCCCACTTCTCTTCATCCTCCCTTCCCCTTCCCATAGACACACCTTCTTTTAGCATTGCTCTGGTCTGCCTAGAAAAGCAACAGGAGAAATATATAATAATTTCTACATACAGGAAGTAGAGTAAGGTGAAGGCTAAAGTCCTCTGAGCTTGTCCTTCTCTTACTTTGTTGGCCACAATTTCAAATTCTCTTTATTGAAAACCTCTCATCTTTCTGTCCTTTAAATACTGGAATACCCCAGGGCTCAATGGGTAGATAGATGATCTCCAAAGATGGTGCTCACCAAGTCTTTCCCTCCCAGTGTATACATGACACTCTATCCATGAAGAGGTAGAATCTATTTCCTCTCCCCTTTAATCAGGGCTTGCTGCATGACTTGCTCTGACCAATAGAATGCAGTTCTTGGTTAACCTTCCAGAGGTCTGGTAGCATTTGCTTTTGCTTAGGGAAGCAGCCACCATGCCACAAGGAAGCTTGAGCTAGACTCCTGAATGAGGAAGAGAGAGAGGCCATATAGAGTACACCACGACACCAGACGTGTGAGTGAAAGCTTCTTTGGGTCTCTAGCCAGCTAAGGGCAGCAGAGTAGCCTCGCTGATGTCACATGGATTACACTGGGACAGCAGAGGTCTGCTCAAATTCCTGACCCATAGGATTGTAAGAAATAGTAAAGTGATATTTTAAGCCATTATGTTTTAGGATGGTTTGTTACTCAGAAACAAGTAACCAAAATAGTCTTTGAACGTCTTTTTCCTGCTTAAGTGATCCTAGCCAGCCCCATTACTAAACCAGTCTACATGCTGTTCCAAACTCTCTCCAAGCCTCCAAACTCATACATCCAACTTCTGTCACTTGGATTTAGAATTCAGGAAACATACATCCAGCTTCTTTCCCCATGTCTCTACTGGATGACTAATAGGCATGTCAAAATATAAAGGACTTCCGAGCATCCCCTTAGGGGTCCAAGTCTTTGCCACCTTAGTTTCGTGGAGCAAAACTCTGGGAATCATCCTTGATTCCTCTTACTCTCACACCCCACATCCAACCCTTCAGTAAATTCTGTTGGCTCTATTTCCAAAATATATCCAGAATCTGACCGCTTCTAACCATCCTGGTCAGTGGTCCAATCCACCATTCTTTCTTACTTGGGTTATTGCAACAGCTTCCTGACTAATTTCTCTGCCTCCACTCTGGCCTCCTTCCTCCCTACTTGGAGGGAGGTTACAGTGAGCCAAGATTGCACCATTGCACTCCAGCCTGGGCAACAGAGTGAAACTCCATCTCAATAAATAAATAAATAGCTTAAGTCACATAAAAGCACTTCTCTGCTCAAAATCCTCCAATTGCTTCCCATCTCAGTAAAATCCCAAACTCCCAATTTTTGCAAATCATACATGTGTAAGTGAATTGTTTCAAGAATATATAAAGAACTATTACAACTAGGCCAGGCACAGTGGCTCACGCCTATGATCCCAGCACTTTGGGAAGCCGAGGTGGGCAGATCACTTGAGGTCAGGAGTTTAAGACCAGCCTGGCCAACATGGTGAAACCCCATATCTACTAAAAAATACAAAAAATTAGCTGGGCGTGGTGGTGGGTGCCTATATTCCCAGCTACTCGGGAGGCTGAGGCAGGAAAATTGCTTGAACCCAGGAGGAGGTTGCAGTGAGCCAAGATCACACAATTGCACTCCAGCTTGGACAACAATAGCAAAACTCCATCTCAAAAAGAAGGAAATATTACAACTTAATAATAAAATGACCAATAACCTAATTAAAATATGGGGAAAGGATCTGAATAGACATTTCTTTTTTTTTTTTTTTTTTGAGACGAAGTCTCGCTCTGCTGCCAGGCTGGAGTGCAGTGGTGCGATCTCAGCTCACTGCAATTTCCAACTCCCTGGTTCAAGCAATTCTGTCTCAGCCTCCCAAGTAGCTGGAATTACAGGCACATGCCACAACAGCCAGCTAATTTTTGAATTTTTAGTAGAGACGGAGTTTCACCATGTTGGCCAGAATGGTCTCAATCTCTTGACCTCGTGATCTGCTCGCCTTGGCCTCCCAAAGTGCTGGGATTACAGGCATGAGCCACTGGGCCCGGCCCTGAATAGACATTTCTATAACTAAGATATATAAATAGCCAATAAGCACATTGAAAAGCTGCTCAACATCATTTGCCATGTGGGAAACACCAATCAAAACCACAATGAGATACGACTTAATATCCATGAAGATGCTTATAATAAAAAAGATAGATATGGGCCTGGTGCAGTGGCTCACATCTGTAGTCCCAGTGCTTTGGGAGTCTGAGGTGGAGGATTGCTTGAAGCCAGGAGTTTGAGAACAAAGCAAAATCCTATCTCTACAAAAATAAATAAATAAAAATTAGCTGAGTGGAGTGACATGCATCTACAATCCCAGTGCTTTGAGAGTCTGGAGCAGGAGGAGCGCTAAGGCCAGTAATTTAAGGTTGCAGTGAGCTATGATTGCACCACTGCACTCCAGCCTGGGCAACAGAGGAAGACCCTGTCTCTAAAAAATAAAATAAAATAAAATAAAATAAAAATAACCAGAATAGGCAAATCCATAGAGATAGAAAGTAGGTTGGTGGTTGCCTAGGGCTAGTGGTGAGGTGGGGAATTACAGCTAGGGGATAAGGGGTTTCTTTTGGGGGTTATGAAAGTTTTTTAATGAATTGTCATGATAGTTGTACTATTCTGTGACTATACTAAAAGCCAATTGACTGTATACTTTAGGTGAATTACATGGTGTGTGAATTATATCTCAATAAACTGTTAGCAAAAGAAATCCCAAGTCTTGCTGTGACCTACGAGGCCCTCCACTATGCGACTTCATCTCCCTCCACCCTTTTCCTTGCTCACTCTGCGCTAGTTGCTCTGCCCTCCTTGATGCCCTATACCCACCAAACACACTTCCAGCGCAGGGGCAGGGCTGCAGCTCATGGTTAAGTAGTTTGTACACTGCATAAAAAGCTCCTGGCTGACAACTGCAAACCAGGCTTCTGATTTTTAAGACTGGGGCCTTGGGGCTGCACCCTCTTAGAGGGATTATCTTTCTTGAATCAGTACAAAGGTGTAAGCATTTGGCCATACCTGTGCTCAGGGCTTCTGCACATACCGTTCCCCCCTCTCTTCTACTCTTTCCCCACATATCCACATAACTCAATGCTCACATTGATTCAGTTATCTGCTCAAATGCCACCAGAAAGGCCTTCTCTGATCATTCTGCGGCAGCATTCCCTGACACACTCTCACTGTTCTCTATCTTCTCACTCTCTGCTATTTTACTTTCCTTTTCTTTTTTTTTTTTTTTTGAAACAGGGTCTCACTCTGTCACCCAAGCTGGGGTACAGTGGCACAATCTCAGCTCAATGCAGCCTCGACCTCCTGTGCTCTAGCGATTCCCCCACCTGAGATGCCCTAGTAGCTGGGACTACAGGCATGTGCCACCATACAAAGGTGTGTGTTCTTGGCCAAGCTAACTTTTGTATTTTTTGTAGAGATGGGGTTTTACCATGTTGCCCAGGCTGATCTCAAACTCCTGAACTCAAGCCTCAGCATCTTACTAAAGTGCTGGAATTACAGGTGTGAGCCACCGTGCACAGCCTCTTCTATTTCACTTTATACAACTATTGCCTGCTGGTATATTATATATTGATATTTTGATTACAGAGCTATTTCTTTTCACTAAACTGAAAGCTCCCTGGGAACAAGAGTTTTGTTTAGTTCTCTGCTGTATCCCCAGTGCCTAGAATAATGTCTAGCATACAGTAGGTACTCAATAAATGTTTTTTTTTTTTTTTTTTTTTTTTTTTTGAGATGGAGTCTTGCTCTGTTGCCTAGGCTGGAGAGCACTGGCATGGTCTCGGGGCTCACTGCAACCTCCGCCTCCCACGTTCAAGTGATTCTCTTGCCTCAGCCTTCCGAGTAGCTAGGATTACAGGCACCTGCCACCAATCCCAGCTAATTGTATTTTTAGTAGAGACAGGGTTTCACCATGTTGGCCAGGCTGGTCTCAAACTCCTGACCTCGTGATTCACCCACCTTGGCCTCCCAGAGTGTTGGGATTACAGGCGTGAGCCACCATGCCTGGCCTCAATAAATGTTTCTTAAGTGAATGAATATGTGAAGTAAAACCAAGTGGTCATCAAAGGCTTAAACATGGACCTGTCTACTGATTCTAGGTGGACAAAAAGTATAATTTTATTTTTTTTGAGACAGAGTTTCGCTCTTGTTACCCAGGCTGGAGTGCAATGGCTCAATCTCGGCTCACCGCAACCTCTGCCTCCTGGGTTCAGGCAATTCTCCTGCCTCAACCTCCCGAGTAGCTCGGATTACAGGCATGCGCCACCATGCCCAGCTAATTTTTTATATTTTTAGTAGAGACGGGGTTTCACCATGTTGACCAGGATGATCTTGATCTCTTGACCTCGTGATCCACCCGCCTCAGCCTCCCAAAGTGCTGGGATTACAAGCATGAGCCACCACGCCCGGCCAGAAAGTATAATTTTTAGTGGAGTGGGTTGATTGTTCAACCAAGGAAAAGTAGCCAAATGTGCCTGCCTCTAAGGGGCTGAGATTATCCACAAGACAAGGCACTGCTGACTGAATGAAGACATTAGTGGGGAGAGAGTGCCCACAGAGGGACCCGCTCTTGTTGGGCTGGCATCTTACCTCTTCCTTTGTGTAGTACTTCAGGAGTCCTTCTCTTGCCAGAAGCACAAACCTCCTTCTCAGAAACTGTGAGTTGTTCCTTCCTCGCTTCCACAGGAATCCTTCTCGGTTCCCTTAAGCACCAAGGATGACAAAGAGTGAACACCTGTGACCTTAAGATGCACAAGCAGCTCAGGAACCTCAGAGGTTCTCAAGTGGGGAAATGAGCCTTCCATCTGCTGCTGAAATATTTCCACTCAAACGTCCCTATTTCAGCTGCAGGACACAAGGATCCCATCTGGGGCAAATTTTGTGATGTCTTCTCACTTCAGGGCACTTCCCACTGCCTAAAACCTTTCTTCCTTGACCTTCTGTGGTATCAGGCCATCTCATAAGAGGACCCTTAAGAATAAGAGTTTTGTTTCGTTCCCTGCTGCATCCCCAGTGCCTAGAATATGTCTTAAGAAGGCAAAGTCCTGAGAAACTGGACTGATTCTGAAAGACCTCAACTAAATACATATGGTCCTGCCCAACTTCATGATAGCATTAACCTAATGAAACTTTAGAAATAATGAGCACCCTCTAGGGATCTGCTCATTTAAGGAATAACTTATGGGCCAGGTGCAACTGCTCACGCCTGTAATCTCGACACTTTGGGAGGCCACGGCCGACGGATCACTTGAGGTCAGGAGTTCAAGATCAGCCTGGCCAACATGGCAAAACCCTGTCTCTACTAAAAATACAAAAATTAGCCAGGTATGGTGGTACATGTCTGTAATCCCAGCTACTCGGGAGACTCAGGCATGAGAATCACTTGAACCTGGGTAGCAGAGGTTGCAGTGAGCTGAGATCATGTGACTGCACTCCAACCTGGGTAATTGAGTGAGACCCTGACTCAATAAATAAATGAATAGAATAGAATAGAGTAGAAACTTGTAGTTCTGGTAGCCAGGAGAGCTGAGCTCTGCCTCTGGCCCTCTAAGAGTGGTTTTGTATACTTTCTGTCTGGGTCAGAGTCAGCTTGGACTCAGGACAGTGGGGGTGAAACTGCCACAGGTCCAGGGCCACAGAAGAGTTTGTACCCTGCACAATGGTCAAAAGGAAGGTTGAATTTATGCCCGTGCTCCTCACAAGGCGTGAACTGCACCAGGAACTACGTTCACCAGGAGCAGGGAGATCTTTTTTTGGGAGGGTACAAAATCTCGCTTTTGTCACCCAGGCTGGAGTGCAGCGGTGTGGTCTCGGCTCACTGCAACCTCCGCCTCCTGGGTTCAAGTGATTCTTCTACCTCAGCCTCCTGAGTAGCTGGAATTATAGGTATGCACCACCACACCTGGCCAATTTTTGTATTAGTAGAGACTGGGTTTCACTATGTTGGTCAGGCTGGTCTAACTCCTGACCCCATGAAATGCCTGCCTCGTCCTCCCAAAGTTTTTGGAGTACAGATGTGAGCCACCGAGCCTGGCCAGGGATATCTTTTCCTAATTGATCTGCCCAGTGGAGGAGTCTTCCTGCAATTTATATTAAGAGTCTGGCTGGCCAGGCACAGTGGCTCACTCCTAATCCTAGCACTTTGGGAGGCCGAGGTGGGTGGATTGCCTGAGCTCAGGAGTTAGAGACCAGCCTGGGGAACACAGTGAAACCCTGTCTCTACTATAAATACAAAAAATTAACCCAGCATGGCGGCATGCACCTGTAATCCCCACTACTCCAGGAGGCAGAGGTTGCAGTGAGCCAAGATCACGTGGTTGCACTCCAGCTTGGGCGATGTAGCAAGACTCTGTCTCGAACTCAAACTCCCAACCTCAGGTGATCTGCCCGCCTTGGCCTCCCAAAGTGCTGGGATTACAGGCGTGAGCCACTGCGCCCGGCTCAAGACTCTGTCTCAAAAAAAAAAAAAAAAAAAAAAAAAGGTCTCGCCATGCACAGTGGCTCACACCTGTAATCTCAACACTTTGGGAGGCCAAAGCAGGAGAATTGTTTGAGCTCAGGAGTTCAAGACCACCCTGGGCAACATGGTGAAATGCCATCTCTGCAAACTAAAAACACAAAAATCAGTCAGATGTGGTGGCGTGTGCCTGTATTCCCAGCTACTTGGGAGGCTGAGGAGGAGGATCACGTGAGCCCAGGAGATTGAGGCTGTAGTGAGCTGTGATTGTGCCCCTGCACCCCAGGACAACAGAGTGAGACCCTGTCTCAAAAAAAAAGAGTCTGTATGTGCATGCTTGTGACCCTTCAAAGACCTGAGACAAATATGCTTCTCTGCTGCTCAGAGCATAAAGACCCACCAGCTGATATGTTGTTATTTCAGTCAGAAGAACCCACACCTTGGCCTCTGTAGCCAGAGTGAGAACAGCAGTCATGTCTTGGATGGATTTTGCTGCTAATATTCAGGCACTTGGTTTTTCTAGAGCTCATTAGAACATAGATTTCAAAAGATGATGGAAATAACTTTACCTGATAGTGAGATGGTTTCCCCATCAGCCATAAATTCCCGTCTCTCATACTTAGCTCGAATCCATTGTTCCTTTAAAACCCTAAAAAGAGAGAATCAGTGGTCACCTACGTTTGATGCATTTTCTTTTTTTTTTGAGACACGGTCTCGCTCTGTTGCCCAGGCTAGAGTGCAGTGGTGTGATCACAGTTCACTGCAGCCTAGGCCGCCTAGACTAGATGATCCTCTCACCTCACCCTCTTAAGTAGCTGAGACCATAGGCATGTGCCACCACGCCCGGCTAATTTTTAAATTTTTGTGGAGATGGGGTCTCCCTATATTGCTTAAGCTGATCTCAAACTCCAGGGCTCAAGCAAGGCTCCTGCCTCAGCCTCCCAAAGTGCAGGGATTACCACCAAACCTGGACTGATGCATTCTTTTCCCACAGTGACTTCCCAAGTCCCTACAGTTAAGAGTGGGAACATCACAGCAGTGCCTCACTGCCTGTTCCAGCTACCTAGGATTCCTCAGCCTCAGGGCTGTGAAAATTCGGAGTTGGATAATCCCTTGTTGTGTTGTCCTATGGGTTTTCCCCCATGCTCCACAGAATGTTTAGCAGCATGTCTGGCCTCTACCCATTAGATGCCAGTAGCACCCCCACCCTAGTGTGGCACCCAAAAATGTCTTCAGGCAATGCCAAATGCCCTCTGGGGAAAATATTTCTCCTGGTGGGCTATCTGAGAACCACTAAGCTATTCCAATCCCAGTCTCGGCTCTCTAGGTCAATGAGACAGATACTGGCTCCTCTGGACCATCTGCACTGCCCTCATCCACTGCATGTTCATGAGCTCAGGCAGGAGAGTCCAGAAGCCTCTTCCTGTGCCTGCACATGAAATCTGGGGATGCTACACTGAACAGAGCAGTCATCTTAGGATCTGACCACCTGGGACCTGGTCTCACTCTGTCATTTATCCACCATGTGACCAAGAGCAAGTTACCTAACTCCTCTGAATTTGGGGAATGTGTCACTATTGTTAAACTCAGTCTTCATCTCTACAAAAATAAAAAAAAAAAATAATAAGAGGTTTAAACGCACATAAAGGACCCAGCACCTGCTCAGCCCATAGTAGGTGTTTAATGTGACCTCAATCAGAGATTGTCATCCTTGAGTCCTGCAGAAAAAACATGCAGCTGAGAGTGACGTTATTTTAATTGTTTGGTTCCTGCTCACCTTTTCCAGGTTGCAAGGTATATATGACCTTACCCCATAGCCATAGGAATGACCTAGAGCTGGGCATCTGGCCCAACCTGGTCCTTCAGAGCTCTTTGCTGCTCTGGGCTGTGTGGACCAAGAGGACCAAAAGTGAAGGAGAGATTGATGGAGTTTTCTCCCGAGCTGCGCTAGAAGGTGGAGCTTGGCACCTGCTTTCGGCCTTGCTGCCAGCTGTGTGAAGGAAGCCTGGCTGAGAGAGAGAAGAGAGCCAGAGAGAGTGTGAGAGACCTGATGCTGTTTGAGCTCCTGGCTTGGTCTTTCCTGAGGCCGGCTCCACCACTGTCCTTCTGGGATTCTGATCCCCAGAACCCATCAAATCCTCTTTTTCCTAGGCTGGTTTAAATTGGATTTCTGGCCAGGCGTGGTGGCTCACACGTGTAATCCCAGGACTTTGGGAGGCCAGCAGGCAAATCACTTGAGGTCAGGAGTTTGAGATCAGCCTAGCCAACAAAGTGAAACTCAATCTCTACCAAAAATGCAAAAATTAGCTGGGCATGGTGGCATGTGCCTGAATCCCAGCCACTCGGGAGGCTGAAACAGGAGAATCGCTTGAACCCAGGAGGCGGAGGTTGCAGTGAGCTGAGATTGTGCCCCTGTATTTCAGCCTGGGTGAAAAAGCAAGACTCTGTCTCAAAAATAAATAAATAAATAAATAAATAAATAAATAAATAAATAGGGTTTCTGTCACTTATAATCAAGAGTCCCGGCTGGGCATGGTAACTCATGCCTGTAATCCCAGCACTTTGGGAGGCCAAGACAGGCTAAGACAGGCAGATGGCTTGAGCTCAGCTCAAGAGTTTGAGAGAAGCCTGGGCAACATGATGAAACCTCATCTCCACAAAAAAAATTTTTTTTAAGTACAAAATTACTAGGTTAACAAAAATTAACCATGCATGATGGCAGGCACCTGTAGTCCCAGCTACTTGGGACACTGAGATGGGAAGATCACTTGGGCTGAGGAGGTGAGGGCTGCAGTGAGCCATGATTGTGCCACTGAACTCCAGCCTGGGTGACAGAGTGAAACCTCATCTCTATATTTTAAAATATATATATAGAGAGAGTCCTTCCTAGTGCACAGCCCACAGATCATTGAGGAGAATCACCTGGCCCACCATGAAGGTGGAAAGCCTGGGACCCAGGATCAGAGCTGGGAGAATGAGTGGAGACCAAGCGCCACCAGTCTTGGTCCTGGAGGTGGTCATTAGTTCTCAGCTAAAAAGGGTTAAAGTGCGGCCGGGCGCGGTGGCTCACGCCTGTAATCCCAGCACTTTGGGAGGCCGAGGCGGGTGGATCACGAGGTCGAGAGATCGAGACCATCCTGGTCAACATGGTGAAACCCCGCCTCTACTAAAAATACAAAAAATTAGCTGGGCATGGTGGCGCATGCCTGTAATCCCAGCTACTCAGGAGGCTGAGGCAGGAGAATTGCCTGAACCCAGGAGGCGGAGGTTGCGGTGAGCCGAGATCGCGCCATTGCACTCCAGCCTGGGTAACAAGGGGGAAACTCGTCTAAAAAAAAAAAGGGGTTAAAGTGCAGGGCTGCTGCTGGAGTCATGGCAAGTAATGTCTGTGTGGTGCCAGCAGGAAGCCTAGCACAGAGCAGCTACTTACGGAGCGCTTAGAGCAAAGGGTAGGGTGGCAGCAGCTAGCCAGGATAAGACAGGCCCTCTTAAGTTGAGCCAGCCCACCCCACAACTGGCCACAGACAGGTAGCATTCTGAAGCAGACACGGTGACATGGATTCAAAGCAGTGTGTCGGGTGGCATGTGAAAGGTTCTACCTAAGTTATCTCATGTAATCTCTACAACTATGTGATGACGCGGGCATCCTTGTCCACATTTCAGAGATGAGAATGCCGACGGAGAGATTTGCTAACTTGTCCACGTCCTCACAGCTAGATGATGGTAGAGTTGGGACAGAAAACGGAGGTCTTCCAAGTAGAAAGCCATGCTTCCCCAGCCACTCCACAGACCATGAGTAGCCCTTAATTGTCTAAGCACTGAGAAATTACAGGACCACTAGGTACGGTTATATAATCTGTGCACTGCCCAGTAGCACCGTGCTGAGGCTCAGCAGCTGAAATGCAGCTGCTTTCTGTTTGCCAGGCATACCCCCATAAGGCTGTGTCAGCCTAACGGGATACCTTCTCCGCATTTACACAAGACATTGTCTAGCAGCCTGGATGGCGAGTCTAAGTACCTGGGAAGGAGGTGCAGCTCAGGCAGTCAGATCTGCAGAGGTCCAGGGCCACTACGTACCAGTATCACACTAACCCTCACCTCCAGGGGACCTGAACCCTCCTGCTGCTTCAAAGCCCCGCTCTTACACTGAATTCTCCCATTGCCATGATACAGACACCCAGGCCCTGGTGTCAGACAGGCTAGACCAGTTCTGCCTCCATAAACCTCAGGTTTTTCATCTGTGGCACAGGGGTAATAGCAGTACTTGTAGGGTTGTTGAGAGAATTGAACAGATACGTGCACATAAGCATTTCGCACAGGGCCTAGTACTTGAGCAAAGCGCAATAATATTAGTAGCTACTTTTTTTTTTTTTGGAGACAGTCTCATTCTGTCACCAAGGCTGGAGTACAGTGGCACAATCTTGGCTCAGTGCACCCTTGGCCTCCGAGTTCAAGCAATTCTCGTGCCCCAGCCTCCCGAGTAGCTGGGACTACAGGCATAAGCCACCGCACCTGGCTAATTTTTTATTTTTAGTAGAGACAGAGTTTCACTATGTTGACCAGGTTGGTCTTGAACTCCTGACCTAGAGTGATCCACCTGCCTCAGCCTCCCAAAGTGATAGGATTACAGGCATAAGCCACCATGCCCAGCCAGTAGTTACCATATATATGAGTGTATATATATGGTAACTACTCGTTGCCATGAGTGACAGAGTGAGACCTTGCCAAAAAAGGTCTTTTTTTGTGTGGCAAGGTCTCACTCTGTCACTCATACTAGAGTGCAGTGACACATGCAATCCTAGCTCACTGCAATCTGACTCAAGCGATTCCCCTACCTCAGCCTTCCTAGTAGCTCAGACTATAAGCATGGGCCACTATGCCCTGGCTAAGTTAATTTAATTTAATTTTTTACAGAGACAGGGTCTTGCTATGTTGCTCAGGCTGGCATTGAACTCCTGTCAAGTGATCCTCCTACCTCAGCCTCCCGAAGTGCTGGGATCACAGGGACAAGCCATTGTGCCTGGCTGTTATTCTTATTTTTATGGTTATTATTTAGAGATCTGCAGCTCAGGCAAGTTGCTTAGAGCCAACCTGAGCTCAGGTGGCAGAACAGAACCCTAGACATATTTCTCTAAAGGAAGTAGCTGAAACACATTTGTTCTAGTAAGATACCAGTGTTTATCCCCTCTATCAAGTTATCCACCATCTGTAAGCTACAAGAATGTCACAGTCAGAGATCATAGGGAAAAATCATAGAGATCACAGAGAGGCAGAGATCATAGAGAGGCAGAGATCATAGAGAAAAATCCTCCGTTTCAGGGCTGTGGAAACTGAGGCCCAGAGAAAGGAGAGGCACACTTAAGCAACAGAGGCAGAAAGAGGCTTACACCAGTCCTCCCATGTGCTCTCTGTGACGATATCCAGTGCTTTCCTGCATGTACCTGCATACCAGGCCCATCGCAGTGACCACCACAGACGAAGGCACCAAAGATGGAGAGCGGGAGGAGGTGGAACCAGGACAACCCCCTCACCCAGTCCCTAAGGAATCATTCACTCACAGGCAGTCACTGGCCTGGGGGATGTAGTAGAAAGCTGGGACTCTGGCTTCGAACTTGGCCTTCACACGGAGGTTCCCATTGCGAGTCATAAACTGCAAGACAACAGCAATTTGGGGTAATATTAGAATTTGAAGAAACATGAAATTAAACTATGAGGCCACTGACTTAGGCTGAGTCAGAAGAAACTGCCTCCAAGAAGGAGATGTCCCACCGGGCTTGGTCGTGCATACCGCTGGGGAGCCCCGGCCTGTAACAATCATAGGCAGATATAATCATGCCTCATATGGGCACAGGACTCCACAGTGCTCACACATCAGCTCAGCCATTGTCACATTACTGTACTCATTTTACAGATGTGTCAACTGAGGCTCAGAGGGGTTAGATGACTTGCTCAAGGAAACAAAGCTGTAAGTGGAGAACTGGGATTTGAACCCAGACCTGACTCCAAGGCTCATATTCTTCCTATCATGCCTTCCACAGATGGCCAGGACCCTCAGCAGCCCTGAAAGTCTGCAGGAGACAAATGTACCTGGAGGATGGAAGAAGTGGGTGCTGGCCTCATGGAGTGCATAGGTCAGGATGGTTAGTAGGGCCCTTTGGCACTCAGGAGACCCAGAGGCTGATGCACCAAAAGTGACCCTGGCAGCAGTGGCATAGCTAGGGTGAGGGCAGAAGTGGGAAGAAGCACCAGCTTGTTACTGGTGTAGAGTGAATCCTACTCTTCTCTGCAGCGGCCTCTAGGCTGTGTCACCAGCTTTGAATCCCAGCAGAGCAGGATTCAAATCTTGCCTGCTATTTATTTGATGAGTGACCCTTGGAATCTCACCCGTAAAAATGAAGAAAACTGCCAGGCATGGTGGCTCAAGCCTGTAATCCCAGCACTATGGGAAGCCAATAGCAGGGGATCGCTTGAGGTCAGCAGTTAGAGACCAGCCTCGCCAACATTGTGAAACCTTGTCTCTACTTAAAAAATACAAAAATTAGCCAGGCATGGTGGTGGACACCTGTAATCCCACCTACATGGGAGGCTGAGGCAGGAGAATCGTTTGAATGTGGGAGGTGGAGGTTGCAATGAGCAGAGATCGTGCCACTGCTCTCCAGCCTGGGAAACAGAGCAAGACTCTGTCTCAAAATAATAATAATAATAAAAAATAATAAATAAAAAAATTAGCCGGGTGTGGTGGCACACACCTGTAATTCTAGTTACTCAGGAGGCTAAGGCACAAGAATTGCTTGAACCTGGGAGGTGGAGGTTGCAGTGAACCAAGATCGTGCCACTGCACTCAAACCTGGGTAACAGAGGGAGTAAGATTCCATCTCAAAAAAAAAAAAAAAAAAAAAAAATGAAGAGAATATAACAGGGGGCTGGGCACAGTGGCTCACACCTGTAATCCCAGGTGGATGACCTCAGATCAGGAGTTCGAGACTAGCCTGGCCAACATGGCGAAAGTCCATCTCTACTAAAAACACAAAAAATTAGCCAGGCATGGTGGTGGGTGCCTGTAATCCCAGCTACTTGGAAGGCTGAGGCAGGAGAATCACTTGAACCCAGGAGGTGGAGGTTGCAGTAAGCAGAGATCACACCACTGCACTCCACCTTGAGTGACAGAGTGAGTCTTCATCTAAAAAAAAAAAAAAAAAAGCCGGCACAGTGGCTCACACCTGTAATTGCAGCACTTTGGGTGGTAGAAGTGGGCAGATCACTAAGGTCAGGAGTTCGAGATCAGCCCAACATGATGAAACCCTATCTCTACTAAAACTATAAAATTAGCCGGAGTGGTGGTGCATGCCTGTAATCCCAGATACTCAGGAGGCTGAGGCACAAGAATCAATTGAACCTGGGAGGTGGAGGCTGCAGTGAGCTAAGATCATGCCATTGTACTCCAGCCTGGGCAACAAGCCTGAAACTCCATCTCGAAAGAAAAGAAGAGAAAAGAAAAGAAAATAGAACAGGGGAGTTATAAGGTGCAAGTAAAATCCTTCAGGTTTTTGTGCTGGTTTACTAGTCTCTAGCCTTTCAGCTGCAGTAGACTGTAAGCTCTGTATGGGCAGGGGCTTTATCTTGTTCATTGTTCTCTCCCAAGACCCAGCACATAGTAAGGTGACATTAAAGCCTCCAGCCCAGTGCTGTCTAGCACAGTACCTGGCACAGAGTGGGCATTCAGTAAATGTCAGCCTGCTTCCCCAGTAGTCCTGAAAACCCTCAGCCAACCCAAACAGTTCAGAACTGCCTGCTCTCTGGAGGTTTTCTGACCGATATGGAATTGCCATGGAGGCTGAGGGTATCCTCCACGCCCAGAGGGCAGGAAAGCAAAGTGGTCCTCTTTCTGCCTAGGGAGAAAGGAGGAGGACTTTAAGACCATGAATCAGGTTATTTCCCTTCCTCCAGTCCAAGGCTTCCCTAATGATAACAGCAATTTATTTTTTATTTTTTATTTTTTTAGGCAGAGTCTCACTCTGTCACCCGGACTGGAGTGCAGTGGTGCGAGCGATCTTGGCTTACTGCAGCCACAACCTCATAGGCTCAGGTGATCTTTCCACTTCAACCTCCGAAGTATCTGGGATGAAAGGTGCATGCCACCACACGCAGCTAACTTTTGTATTTTTTGTAAAGACGAGGTTTCACCGTGTTGCCCAGGCTGCTCTTGAACTCCTGGGCTCAAGCAATTGATCCACCAGCCTCAGCCTCCCAAAGTGCTGGGATTACAGATGTGAGCCACCACACCCATCCAATAGCAATTGTTAACTGACTACTTTCTTTGTGTCTGGACTGAGCCTACATTAATCTTCACAGCAGTGCTGTGAAATTGGTGGTGGTAGCCAGGCATGGTGGCTCACAGCTGTAATCCCAGTACTTTGGGAGGCCAGGGCAGTTGGATCACCTGAGGTCAGGAGTTCGAGACCAGCATGACAAACATGGTGAAGCCTGGTCTCTACTAAATACAAAAAATTAGCCAGGTGCAGTGGCAGGCGCCTATAATCCCAGCTGCTTGAGAAGCTAAGGCAGGAGAATCACTTGGAAGGCAGTGGTTACAGTGAGCCGAGATTGCTCCACCGCACTCCAGCTTGGACAACACAGTAAGACGCTGTCTCAAAAAAAAAAAAAGTAAGGAAATTATGGAGACAGAATTTGAACTCAGGGCCTCTGTCTAAGCTGCTATCTTACAGGCTGTGTTTCCTCTGGCAAGACTTGCCCGTTTCTGGGCCTCAGTTTCCCCGTCTGTAGAATGGGAGCCACCTGCCCACTGCCTCCACCCCAGTTCCGCGGTTCCACGGCTCTCCACGCGCATGCCTTTCTACCTCCACAATACTGTCGTCCCAGAAGTCAAGTCGCACGGATTTAACTTTGCTGATGTCAGGGAAGTTACGGTGGACGCCGCAGCAGTTGAGACAGATGAAGACCCCCAGCTTGTAAGAGGCCCAGTCGGGATCTGCAGCGGGAGAGGCAGGAGAGGAACTGAGCCGACAGCGCGGCGAAGAAACCAGGGCTGGGCTGGGGGCGCTAGGGCAGGCGGGGCGCCCCTTCTCCCAACTAGGGCGAACTAAGCTGCCAGTCTGGCACCTTCTGGTTAGCCCACCGGCCGCTGCGCGGCGACCGGGATGAAGATCCTGGAGGGAGTCTAGGGTCCGGGGGAAGAGTCTAAGGCGGCGCGATGTGGAAGTGACGGGACTCAGAGGGAACCGAGAGGAGGGCGCGGGGGGCGCACCGCGGGGCTCGGCGGGGAGCTGCGGGTGGGGAGGCTGAGTCACGGGGCTCTCGGCGACCGCGTGGTGGGGCGCTGGGGAGGCCTTCGGGGGCTTCCGGAAGCGGGCAGAGGACACGCGACGGTCGGGGGCCTGGGCCCGAGGTCTGGTCCTAGCTGTGTGGGATGTCTGAGTCCGAGGGCTTGGGGAGCACCTGGGTACCGAGACACTGGCAGTCGGGTGCCGGCCCTGGGAAAACAGCGAGACTGGCAGGGCTCCCGGCTGCCGGTTCTCGTGTCGGAGTCCAAGCATGTGGGAAGATCCGCGCGGGTCCCGCGTGGGGAGCAGGGCCTGGGCTCTGAGGGACTGGGGGCAGAGTGCCGAGAGAGCTGTCAGGGCTCGGGTGGTAGGTTCATGGTGTGGGGTGGGAGGGATCCGGGTCCGGAGGTCCCACGTGCGGGTCCAGCGGGGGCCGAGGGCGGGACCCGGTGGGGCCGAGGGGAGGAGTCCAGCGGGCCGGGGGTCCGGCCGGGGGTCCCGCGCCGCCCGCGCCGCCGCGCTCTTACCCGCCGCCCCGCAGTCGGCGCAGTGCGCGTTGTCAGTGCCCGCCGCCTGCAGCAGCTCCAGCAGCCGCTTCTTGTTGCGCTCGCGATCGCCCATGGCCGGCCCGGCGGGCTAAGCGGGGCTCAGCCCATGGCCAGTGCGCTCCGCCCGGCAGGTGGAGACGGACCCCTCCACGGTGCCTCAGCCAGGCCCCGGCGGCCGCCAGCCCCGCCCCGCCCGCCGGGACTGTCCGCCCCTCCCTCGGCCAGTCCAGGCTGGTCCCGGGCTCCGCCGACAACGCGCGGGGGGGGACAGGAGCACGCAACTTGGAGTCTAACACCCTGGCCCAAGATCAAATCGTAGCCCGTCACTTGCTAGCTGCGAGGCTGTGGACAACCTAATCGACCTCTCTGGGTCTCAGTTTCCATGGTCTCTGAAAGAGGAACAAGGGCATACGTCTGCATCTCAGCGCTTCTTGGAAAATTAACCAGAATCTAACTTCTCATAAACCATGCTGTTGATGTAAGATCTTAAAATCTATTTGGAGACGTAGCTATATGCAAATACCATCTCCTCAGGAAGCCCTCCAAGATACCCTACCTGGAGTAATCTCTGCAGCCTCTGGGCCTCCTAGAATACTGTTGCAGTATGTGTCCATTTCTTTTGGCCCTGAGCTCTTTCTATCTACCTTGCATCATGGTTATTTATATACTTGTGTTCATTCCACTCTCTGACCCCAGACACACACATCGCCACACCAGAGAGTTTGGCGTTAGCAGTTTTATTCCTGTATTCCATATTGCGCCTAGAAATGGTACCTGCACATTTTTAGAAGTCCAACTAATAGTTGCATGATTTTGTTCACCAGAAAAGTGTGGTTTCACCAAGGTGGACACACCCATGCACTTTAACCTGTGAAGTTCCATCACCATGAGGTGAAGGTAAAACATGGGTGTTCTTAAATCTGGGCATTTCATTAATCCTCTTTCCCGCTCCCCTATCTTTGTTACTCCCTGACATCCTCTTCAGTGACTCACCGGCCTCCTGGTGAAATATATACTGTACATACTTGCCATCTCCTCTGTAGGTTAATAGCTGTCTATCGTATGCAGATAGCTTAATACACACATGCATATGATGCATTAAGTCATCTGCATATGATAGACAGGTGTTAACCTTCAAGATAAAATCAGGTTTCCATCCTGGTGAATCGCAGCTCATGTTCTAGCTGACCTGCCTACATCCCTATTCAACACATATGCGGGTGATAGCACTCACGTGCACACACACGCACAGCAATCTGGTGTAATGGAATGAATTCAGGAATCCAGAAATTCAGGCTTTAAATGTTGACTCCTTCGTTTTCACATTCCCAACCGTTCATCCTTGGGCAAGTTCTTTCACTTCTCTGAGCCTCGGAATCCTCAACTGTAAAATGCAGATTTTGAGATCCACTAATAGGGTCATTGAGATGGCACAAAAACCCTCCAAACATGGTGGCCCCCTTGCTTTCCCTGCCCCTCTGGTCAGTTCGTGGGATTGTCGCTTGGAATGCTGTGTGTGATTCCAGTCATCCCTGGGGTGGGAGGAGGTCACGCTGCCAGGACTGAGCGGGAAGGGAGGGTGGAGAACATTACCAGGAATAGCTAGCCATGAGGGGGTCTTGCCTTTGAGGGGGTGAGACCTAGCCCAGGAGCAGCCACAGAGGAGCCAGTGAGAGAGTCAGCTGAGGTCAGGAGGCATGGGGCTGTTTATTAAACAGGCTGAAAGATGATTCATTTCCGTTGCTTTACATGAAAAAAGGGACAGAAATAAATCTCCCAGGAGAAAGATGAAGGCAGAGGGAGGAGGAAGAGAGGGAGAGGAGGAGACAAGCTAAGGACATTTCTCCTCTCCCCAGCACTGGGGCAAAATTGTGATGTGGGGGTGCTTCCTCGGCACCCCACCCTTCCCCGGTCCCTACTCCTTCGCTCCTCTGACACCTTGAGTCTCACTGCCACCTCCCTGCAGGTCCCACAAAAGATGTTCTAAGTAGGCTCTGGTTGAATTTTAGAAATTAAAAAAAGAAAAAACAAAAGAAAAAAATAGCCAATACAAGAGAAAGTATAGCATCTAATTTAGGGTGAGGAGTGAGAGATTGAGAGATTCCTTTAGTGTCCCCCTCTTCCCTTCCTTATTTCTGGAGGTTCCCATCAAACAGCCTTAGTTTGGCATTTCAAGCATCCTCAGAGCAAAACAATGTACTCTGGTATTTTGTTTATAAGGCTTTCTCTTTTTTTTTTTTTTTTTTTCTTTTGAGACGGAGTTTCGCTCTTGTTACCCAGGCTGGAGTGCAATGGCGCGATCTCGGCTCACCGCAACCTCCGCCTCCTGGGCTCAGGCAATTCTCCTGCCTCAGCCTCCTGAGTAGCTGGGATTACAGGCCCGCGCCACCACGCCCAGCTAGTTTTTTTGTATTTTTAGTAGAGACGGGGTTTCACATGTTGGCCAGGATGGTCTCGATCTCTCGACCTCGTGATCCACCCGCCTCGGCCTCCCAAAGTGCTGGGATTACAGGCTTGAGCCACCGTGCCCGGCCTCTCTTTTTTTTTTGAAATGAAGTTTCGTTCTTGCTGCCCAGGCTGGAGTGCAATGGCGTGATCTTGGCTCAAGACAACCTCTGCCTGTTGGGTTTAAGTGATTCTCCTGCCTCACCCTCCCAAGTAGATGGGATTACAGGCATGGGCCACCACACCCGAATAATTTTTGTATTTTTAGCAAAGATGGGATTTCTCCATATTGGTCAGGCTGGTCTTGAACTCCTGAGCTCAGGTGATCTGCCTGCCTTGGCCTCCCAAAGTGCTGGGATTACAGGCATGAGCCACTGCATCCAGCTTTCTTTTCTTTTCTTTTACTTTTTTTCTTTTCTTTTTAAATTTTTTGTGGTGGTGGTGGCAGGACAATGCTGATAAACAATTATTCAGTTTTTTTTTTTTTTTTTTTTAACAAAACAGTCTCGCACATTTGATCATATTTGAGCTTCACGACACTCTCTGAGGGCAGCATCGTATCGGGCCACTTTGCAGAAGAGAAACCTGAGCCTCAGAGGAGTTAAGTTATCCAAGGTCATGGAGCCACATAAGAATCAGAATAGGCCTAAATCCAGATGTCCTTTTGTGGCTCAGTCAGTCCCAGGTGATTTCATGAAACTTTCTCCCTTTAGTGCATTCTGGACTTTTTTTTTTTTCTCTCACTTAAATTGTGGTTCAGTTAATAAGTTTGCTCCTTTTTAAAAAAAAAAAAAATATATATATATATAAAAATTTAAAAATTGTGATAAAATCTAAATAACACAAAATTTGCCATTTTAACCATTTTTTTTCTTTAGAGACAAAGGTGTCACTGTCACTCAGGGTCGAGTGCAATGGTACAATCAAAGCTCACTGCAGCCTTGAACACCTAGGCTCACGTGATCCTCCCGCTGCAGCCTCCTGAGTAGCTGGGACGATGGGAGCGTACCACCAAACCCAGCAAATTTTTTTTTTTTCCTATTTTCACAGAGACAGAAGCTTGCTTTGCTGCCCAAGCTGGTCTCCAGCTTCTGGCTTCAATCCTCCAGCCTCAGTGTCCCAAAGCTTTGGGATTACAGGTATGAACTGCCATGCCCCATCTATTTTAACCATTTTTAAGTGTACAATACCATGTCATCAATTGCATTCAATTATATTCACAATGTTGTGCAATTATCTCCACTATTTTAACAAATATTTGAGAAGGAAAGATTGTATACATTCAATGTTTGAATGATTTGACATTTGTGCACACTGTATAATGATTCCCACAATCACATTAATGAACACATCCATCACCATACATACTATGCCTTAGATCCCCAGAATTATTCTCATAACTGAGTTTGTACCCTATATTTCCTACACTGCTTATTTCCAAAACTTTTGCATCATCCTAAACAGAAACTGTAGCCCCAGCCTGGACAACACGGTGAAACCCCCATCTCTTCAAAAATTACCAAAATTAACTGGCTGTGGTGGTGTGTGCCTGTAGTCCCAGCTACTCAAGGGGCTAAGGTGGAAGGATAGCTTGAGTCCAGGAGGCAGAGGTTGTGGTGAGCCATGATCACACCACTGCACTCCAGCCTGGGTGACAGAGCAAGGCTATCACAAAAACAAAACAAAACTCTGTAGCCCACTCCTGGGTATTGGACATGATGAAAATTGAGCTCAGCTTCTGTGCTCAGGACCCAGAAACTGCTTCTAAATGAAGAGGACAGTGCCAAAGGCTGTCATGACCAAGGCGGACACTGAGCACTGTGACCCAGGGTTTGAGGAACAGGATGGGTCAAAGCAGACCCTCTGAGGGGCTCAATACAGCAGATGCTGGAGTGAGGGAGCAGTTTGGGCCGTGGGACACAGTGTCCTCTGTAAATAAAGCTCCCAAGGTCCCACCAAGCAAAAACATCTAGCTCTCTTCTCAGGTCACTGTCTTTGTTTAGCCAACCCAAGCCACAGCAGGGCTATAAGAAAGCCCTCAACCACATTCCCAGGAACAGCCTCAAGATCCCCACTCAAGAGCTTCAAGGAATAGAGCACAATTCCTTTGAAAATTAAATAATTGGCTGGCGTGCTGTGGCTCGTGCTTGTAATCCCAGCACTTTGGGAAGCCGAGGTGGGTGGATCACCTGAGGTTACAAGTTGGAGATCAGCCTGGCCAACATGGTGAAACCCTGTATCTACTAAAAATACAAAAATTAGCTGAGCATGGTGGTAGGCGCCTGTAATTCCAGCTACTCAGGAGGCTGAGGCAGGAGAATTGCTTGAACCGGGGAGGCAGAGTTTGCAGTTAGCCAAGATCGTGCCACTGCACTTCAGCCAGAGACAAAAGTTTGTCTTGTACTTGAGAAGACAGAGCAAGACTCCATCTCAAAAAACAAAAACAAAAAAATTAAATAATTATGTTTATTAGCTTTAGAATTTTTAAAAAGTATATTATAGGAAATTTGAAAAATACAGTAAAGAAGGAAAAAGCCACCACCCACAATTATGGCCACCATTTATTCTGGGATTCTAGTGTGCCAGACCCCTTACATACATTATTCCATTTAATCTTAGCCATAACCCTGAGGTACAGACTATGTTTATGCCCATTTTACAGATGAGGCTACTGTGGCTCAGAGGAAAGTTAAGTATGTTTGTCCAAGGTTACGCAACTGAGACGTTGTATACTGAATCATGCATACTGAAGCTGGGATTTGAATCCAAGTTTGCCTTGGACTCTTTTCACCAATATATTAGGTTGAACATTATGAAATTGACTTAACAAAATGACAATGGAAATGTCATAAACTTCAACCTAACTTTATGGGTTTTTGTTTGCTTGTTTGTTTTCAGAGTCTCTGTTGCTCAGGCTGGAGTGCAGTGGTACGATCTTTGTTCATTGCAGCCTCTGCCTCCCAGTTTCAAGCAATTCTCATGCCTCAGCCTCCCAAGTATCTGGGATTACAGGCAGGTGCCACCACACCCAGCTAATTTTTGTTTTTTGAGACGGAGTCTTGCTCAATTGCCAGGCTGGAGTGCAGTGGTACAATCTGGCTCACTGCAACTTCCATTTTCCAGTTTCAAGCAATTCTCCTGCCTCGGCCTCCTGAGTATCTGGGACTACAGGCACACGCCACCACAACCAGCTAATTTTTTGTATTTTTAGTAGAGACGAGGTTTTGCCATGTTGGCCAACTGATCTCAAATTCCTGGCCTCAAGTGATCTGCCCACCTCAGCCTCCCAAAGCTCTGGGATTACAGGTTTAAGCCACCGTGCCTGGCCCTAACATTATGCTTTTTAATAATCCTGCTGCTAACCATCATTAACAATTCTGTGAATTTCCTTCAGGTCTTTTATGCATATTTAAATATGATTGGAACCATATTTTTCATACAAATTTATACCCATTTTTTGCTCTTTTTTTTTTTTTTTGAGTCTGAGTCTTGCTATGTCTCCCAGGCTATAGTGCAGTGGCATGATCTCAGCTGATTGCAACCTTTGCCTCCCCGGTTCAAGTGATTCTCTTGCCTCAGTCTCCTGAGTAGCTGGGACTACAGACACACACCGCCATACCTGGCTATTTTTGTGTTTTTAGTAGAGACAGGGTCTCAAAAAAAAAACAAAAAAACAAAAAAAAACAAACCAGCCCGAGTGCGGTGGCTTATGCCAGGCTGGTCTCAAACTCCTGATCTCGAATGCCTTAGAAGGCTGAGGCAGGCAGATCACCTGAGATCAGGAGTTCAAGACCAGCCTGGCCAACATGGCAAAACCTGGTCTCCACTTAAAAAAAAAAAAAAAAAAAAAAACAGGCCAGGTGCAGTGGCTCACATCTGTAATCGCAGCACTTTGGGAGGCCAAGGTGGGCAGATCACAAGGTCAGTAGTTCGAGACCA